CAACATTGTTATTTCATAACTTTCACCGATGATTATTCTTGGTATGGTTACGTGTACCTAACGAAGCATAAGTCTGAATTCTTTGAAAAGTTCAAGGAGTTCAGACAAGAAGTCAAGAAACAGTTGGGGAGACAAATCAAAACCCTTCGATCAAATCGAAGAGGTGAATACCTCTCCAATGAATTCAGGGACTACTTAAAGAACAATGGGATTATATCACAGTTATCTCCTCCTACTACACCACAATTAAACGATGTGTCAGAGAGAAGAAATCGGACTCTATTAGATGTAGTCCGATCACTCCTCGTCGATTTAAGAGTTACCCATATCCTTTTGGGGGCATGCATTGGAGACTACAATTTATGTGCTGAATCGGGTTCCAACCAAGTCGATTCCTAAGACTCCTTATGAGCTATGGACCAGCAAAACACCAAGTGTAAGACACTTAAAAATATGGGGTTGTCCAACACGTAAAAAAGACAAGTGCGGACAAATTGGAATCCAAAACCAGTCACTACCTATTTGTAGTCTACCCCAAGGACTCCATAGGGTATCTTTTCTATGACCCACGAGAACAAAAATTGTTTGTTAGTCAAAATGCCTACTTCTTGGAGAAATCATCTTACGATATTCCCTATCTCATTACACTTATATTAATCATGAGGGAATGTGTATATCAGTCCCTAAGTCAGATTTAGGTCATACCATAGTGACTCCCACTGACTTTCATAGTCAGATTCAAATGAGCCCTTAACGAGCTAGAGTTCTCGCAAGATTCCTCTTGGGGAGGAAGCTATTAAGGGGGTCCATTATAAAAGGAGATCATGTAATAATCCATTGGCATCACATAAGTCAATACATGGGCCAAGCACTTATGGCCCATGAACGAATCACATCCACTCAATACATCACATACACATAAATAATTGATCCATATCAATTTAAAACTTGTAAAACCCATATCACATTTAGATTAACACATGATCAGCCCATCAATGAACTAAATTATCTCATAATTTTATCTTGGTATATGGGCTAAACTGCAAAAAGCAATTCGGCCCATATAGCAATCCATGCTGAAATGGGCTAGTCTTACTTTAATCTAACATAAAAGGGTTTTTCAAGTATGGGCTAAATTTTGCCCATGCAATGGGCCATCAATCCCTTGGCCTAAAATCGATTTTGGGTAACTTAAACAGTGATCCAAGGGGTTAGACCCTAAAGAACCATAGGTTCGACCCAACAAGATTGGACCAAAACTAAGTTAGATTAGCCTAGGGTTTGGTGTCCAAAACATGCATCAATTCACATAGGTAATGATCTAAAATTCTTAGTTATGATTCACAATCATATCAGCAAATAAATAGAAAATAATAAAAAATAAAAGGCTAGGGCTGATAGTGTGATGGTCCAAATCCAATCCGAACAAATACTGCATCCCTGCGAAACTGCAATTTGCATATCGATCTCCATTTGCAATCTCCGTCTTCTCTGTAAGCTCCAGCAATTTCTCCGATGTAAAAAAAAAATATAGAAAAACCCTAATTTCTATTGGTTACATCAGAAAAACCTAATACATTCTTTCCAGAAAAGAAAAATAATTAATTATAGACCAAATAATCAAATTAACAAATTCGGTGTTCACAAATCTTGCCACCACCAAGAGTTCGATCTTCATCACACTTTCAGCCCAAGATTTCAAGAATCCGTAATAGAACAATTCTATAAAATATCTATAAAAATTTTAGATCGTTGTCCCACTCTGAGAACTGAATTCTCAAAGATTTCTGCTAACTGCTCAAATCGGCAAGACTCGTTTTTGTTGATTTAAGTTTTGGTTCAAATCTGGTTTGATTCAGTCCAAGGGTTGAACCTAGTGCTCTGATACCACTGTTGGAAGGGTTAGGATCCATCATATGGATGGCCGAACCATGATAAATGGTTGGGCAAATTTTCAAAAATTTTCAGATCCTTCTAGGAACCAAATTCCCTATGTTTTGAAAAACTGCATTTTTCAGGATCGGTGTTTCACTGAACCGGACCATATTTGAAACCAGTCAAAGAAGGAGATGTATACCTGATACAAATACCACAAATGCATATCCCAATGTGGAAGTTCACGCCCAAATCAGTCCTAAAACCAGCCTTCACTGAAGATGGCACAATGTATAGGTGAATCTAATTCAGCAACACAGTTTTCAATAAAACTGCAACCCAACTACTTGGATCGAACTGGGAAGGTGAGCCTGAAGTTCCTCTGAATTTTTCTTGCAAAAATCAAAAGAAAACCTAACTATCGATCCTTGAAAGCCTAGGTCATGATAGGGTTTCTTGGAAGACAAAAGAGAACAAGAGAGAATAAGAGAGAGTGGTGTTCTAGTCTAGTTCACCCTCTTCTTCTTTTATCTTCTTATGGAGCACTTTTCCTAATCAAATTAGGAAATTATCCAAATCTAATTTGAATTTGGACTCTATTAAGAGATAAGTCGTATCCTCTTAAGAGGATGGGTGCTCCATACCCATTTCCAAACCTAGATTCGACCCAGAGCACATGACAACTTAAGCTATCATGTGACAGCTTACTTAATCTTATTAATAATGGGCCTTAGGCCCATTTCCTTCAAAGGCTCACAACCTAAGCATGGCCAACTTAGGCCTAATTTGTAGAGCGTGGGACCCCATAATAACATCACATAAGTGCACATCGATTTGGCCCAGCCTCTGTAATAAGGCTTGGCCAAATTCACTGCTAAATGCAGTAAACCCCTGAGCACATCACTATAGGCTCAATATGGGCCCAACATTTACACTTAAATGATCATTGAATTCAACCGTCTTATGAAGATCCAAGGATAATAGACTTAAGTAAGATAAATCCCATCAGGTAATCAACCCTATAATGGCCTCTTACACTTAATCTCTCGACTCAAAATGATCACAACACTGCCCGATAAGGAAGGACCTCTCCCCTAACTGCAAGGTACAATGTCACACTCTCTGCTCGAATGGATCCCAGGAATTAAAATCTTTTGCAAACATTTTTCATAAAACATAATATATATATATATATATCATATAAATATATTTTTCAAAACCAAATATCAAACACAGTTGAAAACCACTACCGACAATATAGGTTTCCATTAGAGAGAGTGTAAGCCCTATCATTAACTTTGTCCGACAAAGGGGCCGATCCTATCACTATGATTACCAACTCAATTCAAACTGCCCCAACATACCCAGGTTTTGACCCTAAATGGATCTCACTGATTGACATATCAAACACAGCTCAATCCAACACCTAGTGCAATACCATAATCAAGTCTAGGAGTTAACTTTCCAATTTTGCCCATTAATCTCCAAGGTCCAAGGCATAACTGGAAAATGGTTCGGGTTCAGTATTTCATCCAAACATACACTACATGTGTTTTAAGTCGAACCTAGCAGCTGAGACAAACTGCCCCAACTTCTTTGGCAGTACATCAATGTCAACCTTAGCAACCAAGTCTATCCAACGGCTAAGAACATTCTAAACTAACACTTGTCTCATAAGTATCCAGTTTAAGGGGTAATTACACAGAAACATACCAATATCAACATGAAACAATAATGTACTTTTATTCATTTACAATAAATGGATATTTTATTACAAATTAAGCTTTCTCAGCTAGGTAAAGGAAATATTCCTTAATTAATTAAACCATAAAGTATGCAAAAAGCCATCCCAAAAGGAGGCATGAGATGCAACCTCAAACACAAATCAACTTACAATTGAGCCCAAAACATAGATTCCCTATATACCCCTTGCTTAGCTAAAAAGTCTAATAATCCATTAGCCAACCTCCTTTGCCAGAGAATCCTTACAGTCATGTTAGAGGTTAACCATTTGAATTTCTTCACAGATTCCCTGTAGGTCCAAATAACGCAATCTGGATCTATCAACCAAGGTTCAAAGTATTGATATGATATGCCCCGTACCGGGCGTATCGTATCATATCGATACGATATGATATAAACAAAATTTTGGTTCGCAAAACATCTTTTAATGAAAAATATATGTACTATATGTACATATATATAAACTAAATTTTGAAATAAAACTAAAAAGTATATAAAAAACGCAAGATTTTAAGCACTGATACACCTTTGCCGATACACAGAGGTGCATCAATACTTTAGACCTTGCTATCAACCACCCAACTACCAGCTTAGAATCCCACTCAATTATCGATCTATCCATGTTTAACTATTTTGCAAGCTGCACCTCCGGCTGCATTGCTTGTAACTCTACAAAAATAGAATCCCCCAGACCAATCGGGCCTGAAAATAGTGCAATTATATGCCCATCCTCATCCCTTAGCACATGCCCTACACCTGAAGGCCCCGAATTGCCAAGACAGCTGCCATCAAAGTTAAGGTTTCTCAGCTTCCTGATCAATACATCTTGGCTTCACCTTTTTCTTTTAGGCAAATAGGCTACACAACAGGAGCTGTCCTCCCTGAAACCCTTAGAGGCCTAAACTAAACATCCCAAACCTGATGAAAGCAGGATTTGATCCTAAGTATCTTTTTTACCAGCTAGAGACTTTACCACCAAGCTAGCTTGCACCTTCTTGGCTTCAATTTTTTTTCCTTCCCCACCTTACCTACTAACCCTCACATATTTAGGATAAGGCTTTATCGTGTTGAAATTCATTGCCTTCTCCATAAATACAAGCCATAAGCAACCACGAATTACTAACGTATTCCATTAGTTCAGCCTTGAGCATCTAGACGTTCTCAGATAATTCATAGAGTACTAATGTAACTCAGTTATCACGAAAATCACTCTCAAACTACATGTGTCATATCAAATTGTTCCACAGCATTTGTAGCAACTTTACTACTTACCAAATCCAAATCCAAATGAGCAAGAAAAGCACAAGCAATGATAAAAATTCACAAACAAGAAACAACTGATATTCCAAAGTGGGAGGAAAAAGATTTGCCGCTACTTGTACCTGATCAAGCACAGCCTCGGTGATAAGGTCCCCAGCCACTTCCCTCGACTCGGAGATAACAGACAAATCCTCCACAACCCATTTTCTGTTAGTAGGTGGAGAAACCAAATTCGCATACCTCTGGAGATCCCTAACCTCCTTCAGCATCACCTTAGCAGCCTTCTTCTTCGCAAGCGCAAAAACCACTTGATCCATAGCATCATCATTCATATAAACCTCGAATGTAATTTCATCTTTACAGGGCACAATCAAATTGTAGATCCTCGATATCAAGTCATGCCTACTCTGCAGTTCCATTGTCGCCAACAAACCCTGGCAATATCTTCTCCCGCTCGCGTAAAATTTAAACACATTCTGCCCTTCTTTCAACAGCAATGGCGTGTCTTTGCCATCTCCGGTCCCCAAAAGGCTAAAGTTCTTCTCGAAGATCGAATCCTTGGTTGCAAACCTCGCCGCCCAAGCCAACGCAATATTCTCATTCTCCCTCCTCCCTGTGAAGTAATTGATGATAAATGTGATCAGAAAACTTCCACAGACAATCTCAATGGTGTAAGACCGAGGCGTTGGCGTTGGCTTCTCCGCCGGTTTGGAATCGGATTCTAACGGCGACGACGGGGTGGTGTTCTCCGGCGATGCAGGGATTTGGGTAGGTTCTTGGATCGGGAGACCCTCAAATTCGTCTTCGTCCCAATAATCGAGGGCGGTGGGTGAGGATTTTGGGGTGGGATCGGAAGGCGGCGACGGATTGGCAGGGGATTCGGCCGGGGGACCGTGATCGGTTTCGAAGTCGGACTGAGTGAGGGGGGTTGGAGGGAGAGGGGAACGGAAAGGTAGATCGGTAATATGAGAGGAATCAGAGAGTTCTTCTTCCTCGCCTTCGTCGCCGAAGCCTTCGAAGTCAGCGGCAAGGACGGAGCAGCGAGTGAGTTCTTGGCCGAGGAGGGAAAGCACAGAAAGGAGAACTAGGAAGTAATAGAGTGTCTCGCCCCGTGGGAACAGTAGAGAAGAAATGGGCGCTAACCAGACCGAAGAACTGGATTTCGCCATTCCAAACGACTGTGAAGGCAAAGAAGCAGAGAGAGAGAGTGGAGTGTTTGCAGTTGCAGGGTTGAAAGACTTGGGATCACCTGCTATCTGCTCCTTACACAGCGCTCCTTACACCGATCTCACAGACACATGCACATATCACCGTGTATCGGTAACATCTCTTACTTATCTGTGTTTTTATTTCTGGGACATCTCACCATGTATCGAGACCGGATCTGCTCCTCACATAGAGCGTTTCACACGCACATCCTACCATGCATTGGGAATATTTCCCGTAAATTATTTTTACGGGAGATATTCTTAATGCACGGTGGATGTGCATATGAGGTGTCCAAATGTGAAGAGCAGATCTCATAGGCAATATCTCGCTACTTATATGTATTTTTTATTTATGGAACTGTGAGGTCGGTGTGATTAGAGCTCTGAGGAGCAGATCCTAATTCGTATCCATCATATTGAGCATTATTGTTTAGTTAGTCACTAACTATTAACTTCTTTTCATTTACATTGTTGTAATTTATTTCAATTGTTTATATTTATTATTTAACTGCATCAATCTTTTACCCAAAAAGAAAAAAAAAAAAAAAACTGCATCAATCTGTTTCTTAAGTTTATTTCAATGTTTTAAAAACCCATTCAAAGGGGGTCGTGGGTCAGTTCAATCGTCCGGGTCGAATGGGTAAGGCCACAAATCCATACCCAATCAACCCCTCTCTTGGGTAAGGCCACAAATCCCAACAGATGTTCCATTGACAAGGTTTCTTTTATACACATTGTTGGCCTATATTTCTCTTGTGCTGCACTTCAGCCTATATTTCTCTTGTGCTGCACTTCAGCCTATATTTCTCTTGTGCCTAAGTGTAAGAACCCTTGATCCTTTTCCAAGTTCAAACTAATTAATGTTTCTAATTTTCTTACAAGATAATTGTAAGAATTTTGGTTGAAAGACTTTTTGTGCTCACCAAAATGATATCTCTATAGCAAGTTGCCTCTAAGAAGGGGAGAGATATAAATATTATGAACAATGTAGATTTGGTTCAGGAGGTTTTTTAAGAGATTGACATGAAGGTGAGATGCAATAATGTGGTATTAAATGATGAAGGGTGATTTGGCCCGACCTAGCGAGAAGAGGACACGTGGACACGACTTGATTAAGGGATGACAGCTCAGCATTGGCGAGCCTACTTCGCAACATTTGAGCTCGGGTATTCAGCCACCTCGGCCTAAAACTCACCTCAGCATCCAATCCAATTCGAAATTAAAGAACCGAAGTATCAGCTCGGAGCTAACAACCTGAATCGCCACGTAACCGACTCCAGAGGTCTCTCCAGCAGATCCTGAATCTTTCGGGATCACGATGAGGTAACGGATCCCAACTTTTCCGAGATCACTATGAGGACTCATCCCGACTCCACCAGTGTCGGAAGTGGAATGATATGCCTTATCTACACACCGCTCCTTCGGAAGCGGAATGAACTCTATCTCCACACCCTGGAGATCCTAGAGCTCTTTCGTGAGATCCACGACAACTCCAGTATATAAAAACCGGAACCTCAAGGCCAAAGGTACGCGTGATTACTCTACTCTCTAACTCTCAAGCTCTCAAATTCTCGAGCATTCAGCTTGCATTACATTATACTAACTTAAGCATCAAAGCGATCTCGCCGAGTTAGCAACCCCGGGTTCTCTGATACACTGTCTTGTAGATAGATCTAGTTCGCTGCTCGATTGGAAGCCAGATCGCCCTCCAGCTGGGAGTAGTTAGATCATGACACAACAATTGGCGTCGTCTGTGGGAACCGATTGAAAGTCATCCCCATCCATCAGTTACCAACCTTAATTTCTACGTCAATGGCCTCTTCCAGTCATACCGGGAAAAGCAGCGAGATGAACGTCTCTAGGGGAAAACCTCAACTCCCTACGGTGTGCATCGGCCAGTTCACCATCCCGCTTACTGCGTTTGGAGTTCCAACGCTGACCACACCACCAAACACCACACAGGTGAGCGCCCCACTCCCCCCAGTGGTAGGCGCAACTTTTTCTGAGCCTTCTGTGGTTCCCCCCGGAGTCGGGTAGTCCCAGTTTAACAACCTGGTTCAATGCGTCCGAGCTATCCAGATCCAGATGCAGCAGGTCTAGCAATTTCAACAGTACCAGCAGCATTTTTTCTATCATCAGTACCAGCATCAGTTCCCTCCACTACCGCAGAACTAGCAGTCGGTTCCACCTCGGCACCCAGGGGCCCACCAGAATTAGAACCAGCCTCAGATTAACCAGAATATCAGTCGATCTCCCCACTGGGGCGAAGAGACCTCCCAAGTCCCGATTCCTCTCAGGAGTCAGGTCTCGCCCCGTGGGAGAAGAGACAGTTGGCTTACTCCGCCGGCTTCGCAAGGGAACCTCGGAAACAGGTCCGGGGATACTCAGCCTAACATGACCAATCCTCCTTGGCATTCACAACAAGAAAATGACGGTTCATTAGCAGGTAAGCAGTTCGGGATTCGAGGTGCGAACTCGAAACAGGGCCTCTCCGTCCGTGATAGCCAGCCCCAGAGTCCCATAAGGAACCAGAAGTTACCTCGCGACAGAGCGGTACCGGAGCACACCGAAGTTAGTAGCACCAATGTCAAGCCAGTAAAAAAACAACAGCGGAGACGTCCCAAGGCACACCGTACCTCGGCTCAGAACAACCAGCTAGCAAAGCCGAGCCAACAAGAAGGGCAAGCCAAAGGTAAGTAAGAAGTGAGCTCGGTGGCTACAAAGGCCGCTCCTCCCCTACTTTCCAGGTCGTCTCCCTTGTCTCTTGAGCTCTTGGCGACCCCGATGCCTAGACTTCAAGATGCCTCCCTTGGACAAGTACGACGGATCATTCGATCCTAATGACCATGTGGACTCTTTTCAGTCCCAAATGCACCTAGCTGGAGCTGATGAGTCATGCATGTATGTGGCCTTCTCCACTACCTTTAAAGGGGTAGTCCAGACCTAGTACCGGAACCTCACGTCGGGATCGATCAAAAACTGGTCACAGTTCGCAGACTTATTCACCTCGCATTTCATCACTAGCAAGAAGTGCGTGAAGTCGTAGGAAAGCCTTCTCAACATAGTTTAGAGGGAAGGAGAATTGATCAGAAACTATATTAAGCACTTCAACGACACTTGCCTATAGATACCGGACCTAGATCCGGTGGTAAGACTCACGGTAGCTAAGAAAGGAATAACCCACAGGGAATTTAAATGGCATGTGATGGCCAACAAACCAAAAGATATCATCGAATTCCTTAAGCTAGCCGATCATTCCATCAGTATCGAAGAGGAAATCAATCAGAAGGCCAACAACCCAACAACAGAAAAGAGGAAAAGAGACAATGAAGAAACAAGTAATAGCAAACAAAAAAGAAGGAAGAGCAAGTCCCTGAGCAGGGGAAGAAACAAATCCAGAAGCCAATCTCCCTCGCGAACTCACAAATCAGGTCGGCACTACAGGACCCCACCTGTCGAAAGAACGAACTACACACCATTGAACGCTAAGCGAGGAGAAATCCTAATGGACATTAAGGACTCCTCCTTCGTGAAATGGCCTCCAAGGTTAAGGGGAGATCCTGCAACAAGGAACCGAAATGTCTATTGTCATTTCCACAGAGACCACGAACACAACACAGAAATTTGCAAAAACCTCCGTGACGAGATCGAGGAGCTTATCCGCCGCAGATACTTAAAAAATTTCATACAACGAGAAGAGAGAGGCCAAGTAGATCAACAAGTAGACCGATAGGGGGACCAAAGAAGGAATGCCCCCGAGACCAGCAGGCAGAACGAGCAACCGTCGTGATAGTTGCCCGAGGAAATACCGATCTACGGGGTAATCAACATGATTACTGGCGGGTCCATCGCGGGGTGTACATCAGCAGTTGGACGGACCTCAGTCCGCAAGCTAGAAAATAAAGAGGAAAACCCGCCAAAGCGACCTCGGCTTGAAGAACCAATATACTTCAAAGAGGACGATGCATGCGGGATCCAGTATCCTCATGATGATGCCCTAGTGGTAAAATTGAGGAACAACGATTTCGAAGTCAAGCGCATCCTGGTGGACTCAGGTAGCTCGGTAGATATACTGTTCAAGGAAACTTTTGACAAGCTACAGCTACAGCAGAGCGATCTAAAACTGGCATACACTCCTATGGTAGGCTTCAACGACGAGGAGGTCAGTGAAGGGATGAGAGATCCATCATATGGATGGCCGAACCCTGTAAGAAGGTTGGGCGAAATTTCAAAAATTTATCTCTCTCCCATGTGGGAATCACATTCCCTATTTTAGAAAATAGCATTTTCAATGACCAATCTTGAACCTAAACCATACCAGATCTGAAACCAAAAGGGAATGGAGGGATATACCTGATACGAAGTAGTAATAACCTCCAATAAAGGTGTTCACGTCCAAGGAAAGATCCAAAGACTACTTCCACCGAAGAAGACACGGTGCAGGATGAAGTAGAATCAACAGGATGGTTGTTCAACAAGAACCGAATTCTTCAGCAAGAATCAGATGGAGGGCAAGTGAGCACGACTTCAGATTACCTTTTCTGCCAAAAGGTAATATCAAGAACTCTTCTTGATCGCTCCCACAGGTGGAGATTGAACTGGTATGTCGGCAAGAGCAGGAGAGAAGACAATGCAATCAAACTTTGTTGTCTCTCTCCTATTTATAGCCTTAAAAAGAGGTTCTCTTAATCCCATTAGGATTTTACTAATCCAAATCTTGTATTTGGATATGAACTATCTTTAAGAGATAAGGATAATCCCTTATCTTATCTGGAGATAAAGATCAGCCATGCTAATCTAATTAGGAGTTTCTTGGTCCAAATCTTTATTTGGATCTAGACTCTCTGAGTGGATAGGGATAATCCCTTATCCTATATGCTGATTTAAATCCCAGAATCGCCCCCTTTTAATTGGGCTTTAGGCCCATTAAGTCCATTAATCTCCCTAACTGTTTCTCGACCTCTTGTCTGAATTCTTTGAACTTTTCAAAAATTCAAACTTATGTCTCATTAGATACACATAACCATACCGTGAATAATCATTGGTAAACGTTATGAAGTAAACGTACTAGTTACGTGTCCTAACATTCATGGGACCACA